CCCCAGGATCATGACCTGAGCTGAAGGCAGACGCTTAACGGCTGAGCCACCCAGGCGCCCTACATCTTTAACTTTTCATGTAGTGTTCAGTGATTCATTCGTTGCATATAACACTCAGTGCTCATCACCACACATGCTCTCCTTAACACCCATCACCCTGTTAACCCATCCCACTACCCTCCTCCCTTCTGTAACCCTCCGTTTGTTTCCATGAGTCCAGAGTCTTTCATGGTTTGTCTCCCTCTCTGATTTTTTCCCATTCAGTTTTCCCTCCCTTCCCCTGTGGTCCTCTGTGCTATTCCTTATGTTCCACATATAAGTGAAACCATATGATAATTGTCTTTCTCTGCTTGACTTATTTCACTTAGCATAATACCCTCCAGTTCCAGCCATGTCGATGCAAATGGTAGGTATTCATCTTTTCTGATGGCTGAGTAATATTCTATTGTATATATGGACCACATCTTCTCTATCCATTCATCTGTTGAAGGGCATCTCAGCTCCTTCCACAGTTTGGCTATTGTGAACATTGCTGCTATGAACATTGGGGTGCATGTGCCCCTTCTTTTCACTCTGTCTGTATCTTTGGGGTAAATACCCAGTAGTGCAATTCCTGGGTCATATGGTAGCTCTATTTTTAACTTCTTGAGGAGCATCCATACTGTTTTCCAGAGTGGCTGTACCAGCTTGCATTCCCACCAACAGTGTGAGAGGGTTTCCCTTTCCCACAGAGGATAAAATATTCTTATAACAGGTGGTTACTCTTCTGTGTTCTGTTGAGTTTCAATGATTCTTTGGGAATGACTGATCTCAAATGTGATATAAGAATTGGACACCCAGGCAAGCATCAGGTGTTCTGAGATACATGGCAGAGCTTTCAGAGGGGCTAACATTAGCCCCTGGTGGACAACACTGCTCTAGAAAGAGGCAGGAGTGCTGAGGCCAGCTGGGAGACCAGAGGAGGACAGCCAGCAGGTTAGAGTTGGTTATGTTTGGGGAAGGGGTTCTCTTCCCTCCTGTTCCCCCTGCTGACACATGGGCACTGGAGGGTTGCACCAGCATGTGTGATGGGAGCAACATGGCCTTCCCTGCAGAACCATATGTTTCTCTCTTTTGTAATTCAGAATTTTCCTGAGCCCCTAATATGTATATATAATGTTTTTTATTTTAACAAAAGATACATAACATGAAATTTATTGTTTTAATCATTTTTAATAGTACATTCCATTGGTATTAAGTACATTCATATTGTTGTGCAACCATCACCACCATCCATCTCTAGAACCTTCTCATCTTCCTAAACTTAAACTCTGCACCCATTAAATAGTAACATCTCATCTCTTCCTACCCTCTTTCCCCTGGCAACTACCTTTCTATGTTCTGTTTGTATGGATTTGAATATTCTAGGTACTTCATATAAGTGAAGTCATACAATATTTGTTCTTTTGTGACTGGCTTATTTCACTTAACATAATGCCCTCAATGTTCACTCATGTTATACTTTGAGACAGAATTTCTTTCTTTTTTAAGGCTGAATAGTATTCTGTTGTATAGATATACAATATTTTGTTTATCCATTCATCTATTGATGGATATAGGTTGCTTCAGACTTTTGGCTATTGTGATTAATGCTTCTTTGGACATGGATGTGTACATATCTGTTCAGTCCTAAGCCCCATTCTCGGGCAGTAACTGTTGAAGTCCAGTAGAACACCCAGCGGCCCTGACCTGGGCAGCTCTCTGCTTTGTCTATGAGCCTCCAGTGAGTCCAGTCACCTGGAAGCCTGACCTTCATAGGGAAGGAGGGAAATGGCCCTGCTGACCCTTCCAGGGGCAGTGCTAGACCCTGAACCAGAGGCCAAAGACAGAATGAAGAGAGCTTTAAGATAGAGCAAGGTTACAAAGTTCAATGCTCTTTCAAGTGGAATGAAAATTTTCTTCTTTTTACACAAATCTCCTGAAAGTAAAAGATTATAGGAGAATTTCCCAGGAAGCAAGGACCATATCACTTCTGCTTCAGACTCTGCCCACCAGGCTCACAGGGCCCAGGCATTCTGTAGATGGGCCATATCCAAATCTGAGAGGCACAAGAGGGTGGCCAAGGGAGGTTCCATCTACCTATAGTTACCCACCAGGGTACAGGGGCCACCGGATTGAAAGAAAGCCTTCACCAGGACTGCAAATGGCCTTGGAAGACAGCAGCTCAACTCAGCACATCCTTACCTGCTCCTTGATGCTTAAACACCTGGGGACTCAGCCTGGTCTTCATGGTGAGAACTTAGGCTGTGGGTACTACTTATTGCCCCTGGGAGAAACAGGTGGTGAAGGACACTACCCTGGTGTGGAACTATATTATCTCTATCTTGCTTGACTCAAAGCAAGGCCTGGAGAGGAGAATGGGGTGAGAGGGCACCAGGGTGTGAGTGGAAGAGAAGGAGGCAGTGGCTTTCAGTGCCCTGGGGAAGAGGTGTTTCTTTCCTCAAATGGGGGACAAAACCTGGAGTTCAGCACCTGCCAAAAAGAAGAGCTATAGCAAATATCCTAAGATTTCAGCAGAGACCATGAAGGGCCACATCCTGCTTGTAAAAGTCAATTAGAAATAGACCACTTTAAGAAGTGCCACTTTGAATCTTCAAAGAACTGAAATGAAAGAACTAACTACCTAGAATTCTATAGGCAGCAAAATTTTTCTTCAAAATTGAAGGTGAAATAAAAACATTCTCAATCAAAAAGGAGAAGAATCTTAAAAGTTTTAGAAGATCAAAAGGGTTCAGAGTATGTTTTCTGTTCACAGTAGACAACTGCAATAAAAACTCAATTTGAAAAACTCTAGGTCCTGTAAATTTAGTAGTATATTTCTAAATAAGCCAAGGGTCAAAGAAGAAATCACATAGGAAATAAGAAAATACTTTGAATCAAAAGATAATGAACATATGGCATAACAAACCTTCTGAGATGCAGCCAAAAGAGGGCACAGAGGATAATTTATCATCTTAAAATCCATGTATTAGCCATGCTTGAAGGACATAGGGGGGAGGGGGAAACTTTGCTGAACCCCTAGGACAAGGGCTCCCAAGGAAGTACAATTGTTTAGTGAGAAGATAATTTTTGAAAAATAAAAACACAAATGAACAAATTAACTAACTAAAAGATGTATTATCAAGGTCCAACCACAAATAAATCCTTAAGAGAGTTCTTCAGGGGACAAGAAATAACCCCAGTGAAAATAATGTTGAAGGAATGATGCAGAGCAGAAGGGTAAATATGTTGCTAAATCCAATTAATTTAAGACAATCATATTGTCTTATGGGCTTTTTGAATATATAGAATTTAAACACCTGACAACAATAACACACTAGGCGGGCAGGGAGTTAGGAGTAATAATGTTCTAAGGTCTTTCCACCATCCCTGAAATGGTAGAAGTACTAATTTACAGTAGATACAAGTAACTCAGTGATGCTTGTCACAATCACTAATGGTACCACTAAAAGAAGAGTAAAGTAAGGGGTAAATAAAACCGCTGAGAGGAAGAAATGGAATAATAAGATCTTGAATAATTTAAAAGAATGCAAGAAAGGAGAAAATAAGGAACAGACAATGAGATGAATAGAAAACAAATAATTATATGGCCAATTGGAATCCAAACATATCATTAATGGTAATACTAGTTGTCAGGGATCAGTAATACAAGTCATTGTAAGTGGAATAAATCCTCAAAATAAAAGACACTTAGACTGATTTTAAAAACTGTTTGCTGCTCACAAAGCCACATCTTAATGATTAGGACACCATCTGTGAGCAAAAAGATGAATAAAGACATATCATGAGAACAATAATGAAAACAATGCTGATGTAGGAGCTCTGACATCACACAAAGCAGATTGCAGAGCAAGAGGATTTCCTTGGGATAAAAGGTACAACTAACTCATAATGGTAACATGGTTGACCACCAAAAAGGTGTAAAAATTCTATTTGTATAAGCACTTAATGACAGAGTCTCATAATACATAAAGCAATCATTGTGGAAAAGAAGAACAAATTCACGATCAATCACAGTGAAAGATTTTAACACATTTCTGAGCAACAGACAGAAAAGGAGACTGAAACCCAAACCCAGACCAAACCAAACAAAACTCAATATAACAAAATAAAGCAAAAAATGTAAGTATATGGAAGGTTTGAACAAAATGGTGTACTGAGAGGTATCTAACTCCTAAAAAATACAGAATATACATTGTGTTCAAGAACATATAGAGTGTTGGCAATATTCTGGGCAATAAAACCTCAACAAATTTCAAAGAAGATAAATAATAGGATATTTTCTGACTACAGTGGACTTCAGCTGGAAGTCATCAGGAGAGAAGATGATTGGAAACTGGCTATGGTAGTAATTAAACGACATAGTCACAATAGCCCACAGATCAAGAAAGAAATCACAGTGAAATTGAGAACATATTTTGGAGGGAGGGAAAACTAATCATACCAGACTGGAAGGATGAAGCCAGATGTACCTTCTGGCAGAGGAGGGTCAGGACAGTGGATTAAACACCTCCCCAACCTTCCTCATTGCCGGCCGCACACCCTGTACTTCCCTGGGTCTGGCTAGTGGTGGGCTCCAGCCAAGGTTGTAGGCAGGCTTGACAATGGCCTCCAGCCCCAGAAACGGACTCATCAGGGTTCCCAGGAATCTGTGTGACTCTGGCAGTTGATGCACTGCCGTGGGAGCAAACAAGGTGGATACAAAGCTCTGGAGGAGTGGGGCTGAAATAGCAGCTCAGGCAGGCAGCCCTGGAAACACGCAGGAAACAGAGCATGTTGCATGCATGCCCTGTGTCCAGGGTTTTTGTGACAAGGGGTGATGATGTGACCCCATATTCTGCTTTCTGTTTGGTGATGTGGGAGCGACAAGGCAGGTAGATGGAGAGGTGGAGCTGACCAGAGGCACCAGTCAAAGGGGGGAGGTCAGCAGCTCTGAGGGCAGGGTTGTGTGGGATCTGGAGATGTGGAGGGCAGCCCAGCAGCTGCTGCCACCCCCTCCTCCCATGTGTCACCAGTCCTTGGTGCTGACAAAGGACAGCATGTTCCTGAAGACGCCTCTGCTTCTGGGACTCATTGTGCTGGGCACCCATGTCTGGACCATTCAAAAAGAATTTGTAGACATTTGTAAGAACCATGATTATTTTGTGGCATCTGTGGAATTTGCTCTGGCTTGGTTCAATGATGACAACATGGAAGAAGACTCATACAAGTTGTTGGAGGTCGGGCAGGCCCAGCAAAAGGTGAGTTCGATCATTCTGTCCATGCCCAGATTCTGGTCCCTGCATGAACAGCCGTGAGCTGGGTGCCATGCCAGCAGGGCCCTGATAGGGAGGGTCTCACCTCTGCACCACACTCCTGAAGAGACTGGGTGTGGCCCCTTCCCTGCACAGCACCCACCAGCTTCCCTCAGTCTTTCCCATTTCCTGACCCTCCGCCTCTTCCTTGGACAGCAACCAGCCCTGGACACCTGGAGGCCACAGGAGCTCGTTGGGGTGGTCTCCAAGCCCCTGTGCCCTGTCCTAGCTCAGGGTCTGGTGACCCTGCAAGTGAGGCTGGGTGTTCATGAGTGTGTGTGTGTGCTCGCACACGCACATGTTCGAGAGTGTGTTGTTGGTGTGTGTTGGGGCACGAGTGGATATCATGTGTCAGTTGCAAAAACTGAGCCCAAAAGTCAGCTTTCTAGATAATTCCAGTTCAGTCCAATGAGAGGCA